AAGGAACGATTGGCCATCGGTGATCGGTCCTGTGGGAACAATGCTCCGTCCTCTCGAGGACGCGTGGTCAATGGTCTAACCGCTAAGACATGCAAAACATAAGAGTACGCCCCCCCCCACTTCCGTATCTTGCACGCAAAACCGATCACCACCTGCTTCCAGAGGTACGACAGGCTGCTCGACACTGCTCCACCTACTTCCGGTTGGTTGATTCCTCCATCTGGCCACTCTCAGAAAAGGGGCAGCGCCTGAGATCATTCGGGATCGCGGTGCTCACGATTGTTTACCTAGATCAGCAGCATGCTGTGAGCAAGCTTTCATCTCTCTGGTGCATGCGACCGACATGGTGCCGCAGCTGGTGCAAACGGCAGGCGCTGAGAACTCTAGTCTATTTAGCGTAGATATCTGGTCAACAGCCCCGACATCACCGAAAGGAATTTGCGTTTTGCAATGCCAACGTTTTTCGCTACCGCGGGGGAAAGGATTCCGGGGTGGGCTGCTGCTGCTGGTAGCTACCTAGCGGTGGGTCAAGCAACTCCTGCTTGCTGAAAGCCGCGTGCGGGGTGTTGGATTGTTGCACGCAGAAGACAACCAAACAGCGGGAGGTTGCAACTCCGACGTTACTGCCGTACAGACGTGCATCTCGAAGCGGGTGCCAAATCCCATCATTGGCACAAAACACCGAGTCAACAACACACAAACACTAGTCTACGATATTTACACACACACCTCTTCTTCTTCCTCTTCCTCCTCCTCGCCCACATCCATGGTACCCTTGTCATCGTCCTTTGGCAAAGAAGCTTCCGGCATCGGATCGGGCGCGCTCGCTGCCATCCCTGAAGCCTTTTTTCTCGCTAGCTGCAGTTTCCGTAGCCGACCAACAACGAAACGGGAACAGCACAAAAAGTCAAGCTTTCGTCCGTGCAACGCTGTCAGCCGGCGTGGTAGAGTGGCTGCTGTCTCGAACTCTGCAGAGCAACGGAGCACGTGAGAGCACCCACGGGGTTGCGCAGAAGGTACATCTTGTACAACATGTAAGGGGGTGTAGGGGCACCGTGAATGGAATAACAACGCGGCCGCGAACACTTGTGCCGAGTGGAAGGCACACATACGCAATCTGCACAGGGGTGGACGGCAAACCCAGCAAACTTTGCAAGCCGTTCATCGTTTCCCGAGCAAGAGCGACGCGTGGCAGCTGTAGAACACTCGTTCCGGAAGAGCAAGAGGTGATCTCGAGCGGCGAGCGGAGAGTTGGATATCGCCTTGGTGCACAGGGCCCCCCGGGAGCGAGAGAGAAAGCCGACACACAACCCGGAAGCAGGCAGGGCCACGCCGGCAACAGCGAGCCATGAACTTGCCAGCGGGATGGGAAATCGGAAAGGATGCCACCGGACGAACGTTCTGTGAGTATTGCACATGAGCTGGAACGAACGCGGTCAAAATGTGAAAGTGTTCTTATCTCCTTCGAGACCAATCCTCCCTCTCTTCGTGTCATTGCCCACGCGCATCGCTCGCTTTCTTTGCTCTCTCCCTTTCTGTTACGAAGGACCACGTGAATACTCTGCCAACCTCGCCCCCAAAGTTGCCTGCAGCACCATCACCTGTATTCGACGCCCCACTGCAGTCGTCCGAACGCTTGGCTTTTTGAGAGCAACGCGCACACACGGCGGTTGTAGTATACTGCAGCAGCAGCAGCAGTTAGCACTCGCACCCATTCTTGCACCCCCAAAAACCCAGTGGTCGGAAGCGGCAGATCCCAAGGCTTTTAGGGCAACATATACCGTCCGGTCTCCCCGGTGGTCTAGTGCTATCCTCGTAATCCGCTAGTCGCAGAGGTCGTGAGATCGAATCCCCATGGTGTGAACAATTTACGAAATTTGCGGGTGAAAGCGAAATATAGCTAAAAAGCTCTCGTGAATACCAAACTTGGACGTTATCACCGTTCACGAGGGAAAGGGACAGCTGGACCCTGCTCGCGATAAAAATAAAATTCAACACGCACCGCAGGAGGAAGGTGGGGCATGAAAAGAAAAAAAAAGAAGAAAAAAGCCCTGGTGTTTACGCCCTCCTGTGTGACCCTGGATGGTTGTAGTTGTACGAAAAAATACCATGAAAAGTGTAGTACACGTCTCACCACGAAAAATGGAGGGACTGTCGCCATAATAAATAGGACGAAAACACACACACATACGTACACACACACACCAACATCCACACAGACCCTTGGCCAATTCGTGTGAGATCATCACTTCCACCACGCACGCTCAGTAGCGTGCGTGGTGGAAGGTAGTAGCAGCAGCAGCGGTAGACTGATGGACGGGCGTAGAATCGCTTTGCACTGGAGCCTCCGGACGCATCGGCGATGAGTGTTGTCATGAACTAAGATTTGGCACCATCACCCGTACCTGGACCGCGCCACGATGCCCAACGGAAGTACGGTATTCATGTCCCCTCTGCATCAGCGAAGGATCAACGAACCTGACGGCGAGGAATCTGACTACACACCAAAAACGTCAGCATAAAGGTCGAGGAAAGGAGACTACTCAGTTTGTCTCCTCCTGGATCCTTACGCTCGAGCAGCCTAGCACCTGGTTACGCCGCATGTGGCACATGCGGCGACCTTTTCTCTCCAGGCACCAAGCATTGTTGCGAATCAGGTACTTCATCGTCTCCATCTCTCTCGGGGTGGTTGCAGTCATGGCAAGAGGATGATGACAGGCGGCAAACCCTATTACCGTANGCGAGGAATCTGACTACACACCAAAAACGTCAGCATAAAGGTCGAGGAAAAGAGCTACTACTCAGTTTGTCTCCTCCTGGATCCTTGCGCTCGAGCAGCCAGGCACCTGGTTACGCCGCATGTGGCACATGCGGCGACCTTTTCTCTCCACGCACCAAGCATTGTTGCGAACCAGGTACTACATCGTCTCCATCTCTCTCTGGGTCGTTGCAGCCACCGCAAGAGGATGATGACGACAGGCGGCAACTCCTATTACCGTGGGACCTCGACGACGTCAGCAGTGCCCTGGATCAGGTTCGACAAGATACTCTTGAAACGTCAATTTTTTCGACAGTCAAACACGTCGATCCACAACTGGCGAAAGTATTTTGCAATCACTTCCAACATGTCGTCATCCTCTTCGTGCAAGCATTTGGAGCTGTACACATAGATCAGCAGAAGTCAGATACCTCAGATCTGTCTCCTCTTGCAGCGGAAAGATATGAAGTAGCACGTGTTGAAAGACAACTCCAACTTGTCCGAGCAACAAAGTTGCTTCATCATTCCCCAGCATTGTATGGATCGACTGATGGAAGGATGAACAGGGTATCCCGATTT